TTTTTTTTTTAACTGCATTTCATTCAGAAACTTGAGGTTCCAAAAAGTCTGGTTAGGATGCCATGGTGGTTTATCCAAGTGGAGCTAAGCGTGGTTGTTCCTGTGAAATTATTTATACTTTTCAACTTTAAATCTGTGGTGAGCATAACGTTTCTAAATCTATTTCTCTCCCTTTCTATCTTAAAAACAGACTCTCATCTTCACGTAGCTGCATGCTTCATTCCTAAGTGTTCTCACTCAAAGGACCCACTAGAAAAGATAACTCAGAGGGAAAGAGGGGAGCCTTTTTGGTCCAGGAGAAGACAAATCCCTTTAACCAGAACTGCAGATGCAGACAGTATCTAGGGGTTATCCCTGGAGCTAAAAATCTCAATAACTACAACAACAACCAACTTAATAGATCAGCCTAATATAAACCCAGGGCTTCCCAGGTGGCGCCCCATTTGGTAAAGAATCCACCTACTGATGCAGGAGACACAGGTTCCATCACTGGGTCAGGAAGATCCTCTGGATAAGGAAATGGCAACCCAGGCCAGTATTCTTGCCTGGAAAATTCCATGGACAGGGGAACCACTGAACCATGATGGGCTACAGTCCATGGGATCGCAAAGAATCAGACACGACCGAGCGACTGAACATGCACACTCAGCGTAAACTTGAATAGACCTGAGAATGGCGTGAATTAGAAAAGAAGTCTGAGTAGGGATGTGTTAACTAGAGGAAGAGAGAAGAAGGAGAGAAAGGAAATGAAAAACAAATTTCAACAATGTGTTAAATTGGAGGCGGACATTCTCTTTTATCAGTATAATTGTGGATTACCACTTTAAAGAGAACGAAACAATAAACCAGTCTTGCATTTGTCCGCTGATATATCTTCTCTGTGTTCTCCTAGGTCCCCAAGTGGAATCAGCCTTACCAGAATTCACAGATACTTCTTTTGACATTTTGTGAAAAGTAAATAAATAAATGATAAGTATGACAAGTAAAATGAATAGTTCCAGCTGTGACGCACCAGTGGCATTTCCAGATTTTGTGCTGCATTAAGGATTTATTTTTCACTTTGTTGCCTAGCAGTGAATTAATTGGAAGGCCCATCTAAGCTTCCCATCCTTCCTTGGGATAAAGGGGGGAAAAAAATACAGCCTCCCAACACTCAATGTCAATTCAGAAAAGAAGAAAAGCATTAAGTGGATAGGTGGTCAACTCATGATCTCTGCAAATATGTGTCTCTGGGGGTCAGTGTCACTAAAACCAGAGAAATATGTCAGTGGAATGGATGGTATATAAAAAATACGCATATAAGGTTGGAAGGGCTTCCCTGGTGTCTCAGTTGGTAAAGAATCCCGCTGCGACCCAGGAGACATGAGCTGAATCTCTGGCTTAGGAAGATACCGTGGAGAAGCAAATGGCAACCCACTCCAGTATTCTTGCCTGGGAAATCCCATGGACAGAGAAGCCTAGTGGGCTACAAGTCCATGGGGTTGCAAGAGTCCGACACAACTCAGCAACTAAACCACACCACATGAGGTTGGAAATTGATTCCTTGGATGCATTAATTCAGCAAATGTTTACTGAACTTCTTCTTGTGCACACAGAAAATATAGGGGAGACCAAGGCAAAGGTTCAACTTCCAGGGAACTTCCAGTCTTTTTAAAGAGACAGACCATGAACAAGTATAAATAAAATAATTTCAGAAAGTGGAGTGCTTTGAAGAAAACATGGTCAAAAATACCTTTTGGGGTGGTTGTAGCTTACTTTAGATGAAGGTCAGAGAGGGCTTCTGAGGAGGTCACATCTGCAATGAAAATCACATGAAAATCTTAAGGAAGAGTGTTCCAGAGAAGAGGGCCCAGCACATTTAAAGGTCTTGAGTTGGGAAAGAGCTTGGCACATTCAAGAGCAAAAAGTGGGTCTAGGAGACTGGGGAGTAGTGAGTAAGAGGTCATCTGGAAGAAGATTGAGTTGGAGAACTAGGTATAAGCCAGGCCGTCTAGCTCTTTAAGGCCATGATACAGAGACTAAGTCCAAAGCGCTGTGAGATTCCATCTGGAGGAGGAAATCGAGGAGTGGTTGGATTGAATGGGAATTATCATCTACATTAATGGAGGATGCTTAGGATATTAATGTGTATTTTTTTCACTTTGGTCCTAATAGTAGCCTGAGACCCTAAACATGTACTTCACCTTCTTGGAGTTTTAGCATATTTTTCTATTAAACAAAAATTACTGCCACTCTTTAGTGCTGTGCCAGATGCTATGTATGCATTATCTCATTTAAGATTCCCAAGAACTTTATAAAGGGATGAATTATTCCCATTTTACAGAGGAGGAAATCAGATCTTAAATCAGTTCTCCATCAATCACCACTCTCTCTTATTGTGCCGTTGTTGAGTACACGTTGCTAGTTTAAAACAGTGTGTTGATGGGCCACGACCCAAAGGCATGAAAGATCACAAATGAGGGCCATCCCACTGGAGGCTGTGGACCTTGAATCACCCTTACAGCCAAGAGCCAGAGCAGTTGGAATGACTGGGCGCCATTTACTGCAGGCAGCAGCGATCACCTTCAGGAGAACACCGATTTCCTAACCAGAGCACCAAGTCACTGTAGTAAAATCTCAAAGGGACTTGATATTTGACCTTGAAGGCAAATCGTTTCTAGGTTTGATATCTTTATGTTAGAGACAGAGAATGCTAACTTCTTCAACATCTCCTCAAGGTGCCCCAAGAATGAATAGGACTGTCTTAATCCTTTATTCTCAGTCAGGGGGGCTGAAATGTTTCTTGAGAGCAGGAGTATGATAGGTGCTATAATTGTCTTTTTAAAAAAGAAATGCTGCCTAAGTGCTATGTGTGTGTATGTGTGCACACATGTGCATGTCTATATGTGTGTGTGTATATATATATATACACACACACATACACACACACACACACACACATATATGCATGCTCAGTTGCTTCAGTTGTGTCCAACTCTTTGTGACCCCATGGACTGTATAACCAACCAGGCTCCTCTGTCCATGGAATTCTTCAGGCAAGAATACTGGAGTGGGTGGCCATGCCCTCCTTCAGGGAAACTTCCCAACCCAGGGATCGAACCCACACCACTTTATGTCTCCTGCATTCACAGGTAGGTTCTTTAATACTAGCGCCACCTGGGAAGCCTGAAGATAAATATATATAATACAAGCGTTGAAGAATTGATGCTTTTGAACTGTGGTGTTGGAGAAGACTCTTAAGAATCCCTTGGACTGCAAGGGGATCCAACCAGTCCATCCTAATCAGTCCTGATTATTCATTGGAAGGACTGATGCTGAAGTTGAAGCTCCAATACTTGGCCCCCTGATGCGAAGAACTGACTCACTGGAAAAGACCCTGATGCTGGGAAAGATTGAAGGCAGGAGGAGAAGGGGACAACAGAGGATGAGATGGTCGGATGGCATCACCGACTGGATGGACATGAGTTTGAGCAAGATCAGGGAGTTGGTGATGGACAGGGAAGCCTGGCGTGCTGCAGTTCCCGGGGTTGCAAAGAGTCAGATAGAACTGAGGGACTGAACTGAACGGAAGACATATAGACATGATTTAACCAGTAAGTGTCCTGTAGTATATATGATGTGATTTAACCAGCAAGTATTATTTCCTTACTTATCCTTCCCCATCCCCGCCCCACCCCCAAATAGAGTGTGCTTTTATAACTAAGGGGAGTGGAAAGGAGGGAGTCAGAGGCAGCACCAGCAAGACCCGGGAGTCCAGGAGGCTGTCGGGCTTCTGTATCACGCTTAACAGCGTAGTGAGAGGTTGGGGGGTGAGGGGTAGGATGGAGGCTGCCTCGTCCAGAATATCACCGTTTGCTGGCCGAGCTCCGGTCAGCTTCCTCCCGGAGTAACAGATGGCCACTGTGGGCGCGCCAAGCTTCTTCCTGCCTCTCCACTCTCCCCTGCAGGTTCAGCCTGGATGTAAAAGCCGCACTCTCTTTCGTGCCCAGAGTCCTGGAAGACCGGAGGCTCTACCCTCCAGGGGCTGCGTGCCTCTAAGGCCAGGCCAGGCCAGGCCAGCCACAGTTTCGCCAGCCGACTCAGCCCTCTCCCCTTCTGAAGTTCTTGGACCAGCCAACCCCTGGGTCCTGAATTCCAAGAACATCCTGCCCACCAGGAGCGGAAGCTACCTTCTCCAATGGCCTCCCATGGGGGCCATCAAACCTCTCAGCCTCCGGTGCGGGGAGGGGGGGGCGGTCCTGGGGTCCACCTCGCCCGCCTTCACCTTCGAGAACCAGGACGCGCTGCCGCCATTCGCCCCTCCGGTGGGCTTGTATCCCCTTCGCCCCCAGAGAGGCACGCCCCGCGGAGAGTGGCCGCGCGGTGCAGACCACCAGGCCAAGGGGAACGCGCGCGCGCTCGGGCACCACCGCGTGCAAGCCGCTCCGGCACTCCTGCTGACTCAAGGGGTTGATTTTTACTTCTAGCTGGGGCGACTTCAGCCTTCGCTGCCGCCTGCATTTTTTGTTTGTTTTCAATTGCCGGAGTTTGGCTTAATATGCCTGGGAGAGGAGCAGGGATCGGGCGATCAAAAGGCGCAGCGCGCGCGCACACACACACACACACACACGCACACGCTTGTGCTCACTCCTCCGGTAGGGAGCCGAGCGTGAGCAGGCAGCGTGGGGGTGCGCGCGCGTGGTTCGCGCGGGGGGTAGACCGGCGTGCACTTGAATGCGGAGGGCCGGGATTCCGGGGCGCTCGGGCCCCTCCTCCCTCGGAGCCAGCCAGTCCCTCGGCCGAGCGCTCGGGCTGCCCTGATTTGCTCTCGGGAGTGCGCTATTTGCATACGACTTGCCCATTCGTGAATCTGGCGCCCCAACTCCTCGCTTCGCTTCACCTGTGCCTCCCGGTTCCGCGCGCTTTGCAGGCGCCCGCCCGCCTCCCGGCCACCTCGGCCGCCCGCCGGGCACCTCCTCGCGCGCCTTCGCGGCTCCCCTGCCCCGCCTCTCTGCGCCCGGGCCACGTCGGTTTGGGTGGCCGCTCCGCGCTGGGTTCCTCCTCCTCTTCTCTCTCTCTCCGGTCCTTCTTGTTCCTCTCTTCCTCCTGCGGCTGCTGCCTTTTCATCCCGTTGAGAAACCCGGCCCGCAGGCGGCTGCTCGGTGGCGCTCTTCCAGAACGCGCAGGGTTCACAGCCTCCGCCCCCCGGAGCCCTTCCACCGAGACTCCGAGGACCCCGCGAAGAACTCTCAGCATCTGCAGCCCCGCTTTTCCTGGGAGTTCTGCATTGCATCGCTCGCCAAGTTGGGGGAAAAAAATGTTCAAACTGCTTGGATGTTGGGATAAACTAACCTGAACCTACCTGGGTCTCCTGCCGTCTCCTCTTCTTCCTTCGTTTCCACCTTCCCTCCGTGCGGCTTCCCGGAGTGTGCAGTTAAGTCATCCGACTCGAGGTGCCCCGCGGAGACCAGGAGGAGCTGCGAAGGGCCTCCCCTGACATGTGTGGCATTCCGGGGCTCCCTAGGAGGGTTGCTATACCTGGGTGGACTTTGGCATCGTAAATTTCAGCTCCAAGAAAGGGGAGCTTTTGCCTTATATGTTTTTTCTGTTTTTTTTTTTAAGTAGTTTTTTTCGTCCCCCATCATCTGTCTTGAAAACGCTTATTCCTTCCCTGTTTTCCAAAATCCGGGCAAGTCTTCCTCCTGCTATGATGGGCCCCTGGGCATCATGAACTTAATGATTCCTCACTGGCTGGAATTCAAACTGCCCATCAGCGGTGGTCCTGTGCGTTGACCATGCACCTGAGAATCCACGCGAGACGGAGCCCTCCTCGCCGGCCGGCCTGGACGCTTGGGATCTGGTCCCTTTTCTGGGGATGTATCGTCAGCTCTGTCTGGAGTTCCTCTAATGTAGCTTCCTCCTCCTCCTCGCCGGGGTCTCACTCTCAGCACGAGCACCATTTCCATGGCAGCAAACATCACTCAGTGCCTATTTCTATCTATCGCTCCCCTGTTTCCCTTCGAGGAGGGCACGGTGGGTCTCTCTGCTCTTTATCCTTTTAATGGGGCATAGCAATCCCGTAACCCACTCGCCTTTCAGGTAATGTTAAGGGTGGGAAAAGAATTAGAAAAAAAAATGGATTGAAAATCGTGGAAAGTCTCGCATGTGCATGAGGGAAGAAAATGCCCAATTTCCCCTATAAGCTGGTGTTTTCTGCCCCATTCCCATTTTCTCCAGTGGGTCCTTCTCTCCTGGCTGGCTTATTCAGGGCTGCCAAGCACTGGCATTCTCCTCTTTGGATCCCTCTGCTTCCTTCACCCAACAGATGGCAGGCAACTTATCAGATAAATTCCCAGTGCTGCACTTTTGAGAATCCATTCATTCACCTTGTTTTTACCCTTCTTCACTCTGATCTTGTTGAAGAGCTAGTCCTGGGAAAATAGCAGGCAGCATGAATCCTTAGGTCTTCAGCCTGAAGTTGACTAAACTGCTATAAAGTGGTTAAGGTTGGGGAGTGGGGGAAAGAAGCTGAGTGTAGAGAGGCAGAAAATATTTTTTTAATAAGCAGTGGTCATTACTGTTCATATGCACAGCTTTAAGTTTGTCCACATGTCAGATGGAGAGAGGAGCTATGATGAAAACTATACCCCTAATATTGCTAACTACTTGCAAGGAGGCAATGCATAAGATAAGGCAAAGTCCATTTATAATTTACCCAAGTGTAAATTGTTGCCACTACAATCTCACCACTGGTGGGAATTTGTTTCCACTAAGGGTAGCATGGGTGGGCTTGCTCACACCATGCAAGGATGATGTGTTTTGCTCTAAATGACCCTCCTTGCATAGGGAGTGAAAGAAGAGATCTCTGGCCCTTTCAATGATACTCAGCTTTGAGCAGGCTACCTCTGAAAACGGTGATGTCTGCTGCGGAGGTTGGCGCTTGCTGTAGTAAACTGTTCTGAAGACGGGAGCTTCGTTGTTTGTTTACTATGCACTCCACTCTGACGGCGAGGAGAGTGGGGATCACAGAGCCCACCTGCGGCCGCCCTTTGGGGAGCAGCGAGTGTGAATCGCCCTGGAGGTCCCCTGCCCTAGCGTGTATTTTGAAGACCTGTCACATCCAGACCCCACTGGGAACGTCCGTTCTTCCCACCGCCTCCCGGCCCCGGGTTCCTGCTCTGTGCTGTTTTGTGTGTAGTGTTAAGTGGAAGCACATGGAGAAAATGCCAGCACGTCCTCTGGCTCTGATTCTTTCTTTACATTTTATTTGATGGAGTCGTCAAGCGGCTCAGAGCTTGTACTGGTTGGTGGAGAGGAGGTGGTGGGGAGGAGGGACTGCTTGATCTTGATCCACTTGTTGTTTTCTCTGTGATTCCTGCTGGTGTAGGAATTTTGGTGTAGGCTTTCAGAAAAAAAAAAAAAAAAAGCAAAACCCACAGTAGGAGAGGAAAGAGCCACAACCACCAAAAAGGTAAAAGCAATTTCATGGAAATAGAAACTGTCAGTTTCTAAGGAGGAGAGGGACTGGCAGTGAGTGGGGGGTGGGATTGTGAAGAGTGAGAAAGGAAAAGAGGGGGGTGGGAGATGGAGGAAGCCAGACAGACTATTACTAATAGCCATAATTAAACGCGGAAATGCTCAGCAATAATTAGCTAAATTTTGCTAATTAGTGTAAATGATCAGCAGGGAGATGAAGATAGGCATTTGTTAGAGGTTATATAGGCTGGCAGGGTCTCTATGCTTTCTGTTCAGGATATAAACAGTTAAAAGCAGCAAGTAGTTAAGTGAGGGAATGTGCAATACTTCCCTGGGATTCTTAAATCTGTCAATCTCTTCCTCTCCCTTTGGCTCCGTCCCCCTCCCTTTCTCAGTCAGCTGAGGGGGCTAGAGGGGTTGAGCCCAGCACAGGTTAAACACATCTCTTCTCTATTTACTTTATTTCTTCCCTGATTGGTTGCTTAGGACCCTCTAAATCTTCTTAACTGGTGCCCAGTCTACTTTCTCATTAACCTACATCTGATAAGATTCAGCACCACAGAAAAAGGAAGACCAAGTAAGTAAATGATTAGAGACCCTAGGAAGGGTTCTCAGTTCCCATCAGAGCTGTAGAATGCCATGAACTTAAGAGTCTAGCATGACTGAAGACAAGAAAGCTCACAAAATCAACTCTTTTAGTATCTTCTTTCGGTCCTGAAGTCCCATCCCATTGATCTGGGCTTGGAGACTGAATGCATATACTATGCAGGCTCCTTGCATGTTTAATTCATATTTTGGGGCTTGAAATCAAGAGAAGCAGCAAGCAACAAGACTCCCCAAACTCTGGCTTCAATCGCATGTCTCAGCTCTGCCCTTTTCTCCCTGGAAGGACCAGGAGATCTCTCAGTGCTTCCTTAATGTCGCTCATTCTTACTTGGAGTACCCTTGCTTTCCCCTTGTCCAAGACAAAGCCTTAACTATCAGCAACTGTTTTAAAAAATGCTTTGGATGGAGGTGGTAGGAGGCTAATGGTTGTTACTCACAGTTTCCTCCAACCTGATTCCAGAGTTAAAAGCAGCTGTTTCTACTGTCTGTGAGAAGTAAATGTCCTTCATTCTGGTATGAATGAACACTAGGACCTTGAGTCCAATAATGTTCTCTGAACTCAAAGAGAATTTTTTTTCCTACCCTTGTTCCCTTTGTCCATTTCCTGAGAAGCTGAAAGTCCTCAGATCTGCCCTGTTAATGAGCACCCCCTTTGTATAAAACCTCCTATCCTATAGTGAAACTCACACAAAAACAGATGGAAGAAAGAGAAATCCTCCAAACAGCTGATCTTCTACCCAGGCTTGATTCTGTTCTTTAAAAAATTTACTGTGTATAGATTTTGCCTAAAATCTTGATCCCAGGGCAGCCTAGAGTGGGTTGAGCTCCTTTATAAGCTGGGGAGTCTAAGAGCACCCCTGCTGGAATATGCAAAATAGTCTCAGGTGGAAGTTGTGTCTCTGAATAGAATGAACTCTCTTCTCACTTGGAGTCTAGTAAGCTTTCACCCATTACTCTGTCCCTTGTCTGAGGCTTGCTGCATCCTTGTGTGCTGTCTTCTACGGAACTAACATTTATTGGGTATTTACTATGTGCTAGGCTGTGTGTAACCTGCTAAGGATAGAAAACTAAATAGGATATTGTATTGTTCAGCATGGAATAATTTCAGAAGTATTTGGATCATCAGTGAAAGATAAATGCTTCTATAAATTTTAAAAATAGGAGGGATGGGACAAGGATCCAGATACCCAACCAAATTAACTACTATGAAATCTAAACATCACTTGTGAAGTGCAGATTTACAGTATTCTCTTATTCAAAATATCCCTTCAGGTATTTTTCTTTCTCATCTTTATTTTCACACTTCTGTGTCAGGCTTATTGAAGCTCCTAGGTAATTTAGTGCTATGGGACATATAACTGGAGAAGGAAATGGTAACACATTTCAGTGTTCTTGCCTGGAAAATCTCATGGACAGAGGACCCTGGCGGGCTGGATTCCGTGAGGTTGCAAAGAGTTAGATACGACTTAGCAGCTGAGCATGCATGGGACGTATAAATATTAAAATATACTTGTTTACCAACCTTAAGTTTCATAGGTGAGTTTTCTGTATCTTTTCCCTCTCTCCCACCTTAAAGAAGTCCAAAGCACATCCACTTAAGTGTCTCAATACTTACAGTTTAAAAAAAAGTTTGCTCTCAGGAGCCTAGGTTTATTTAATATGTGACTTCTACTTTGTTTTCCACAAAATAGCAGAGCCTGCTGGCTCTTTAGGCATTTGAGGGCATAAAACTCAGTTTTTTTGTAAAAGAAAAAATATGCCACAGTGTATTAGAAGAAAGTCTCTTGACCAGAAACCTCTGTGTGTGTGTGTCTGTGTGTGTGTGTCTGTGTGTCTGGGTGTATAGGTGAGCGCTCTTTGAATCATTTTAGCAAAGGTGGTGGCAGTAGTCACCCTCGTGATCCATTAACCGGGAGTCTTTCTTGTAGGAAATGATGCTTCTCATTCATTGTCACAGAGTTCCATCTGTGAAGTTTTTCCAGACTTGGGGCTTGTTTTGCTCTGATCTGTTTAGCACTTTCTTTTGCTCAGCCTGCTGCTTTCTAACCATTTTCTTTCTCCCTCCGTTCTTGGGATTCAGTTGCTGAATAATTCAGAGTGTTGGTTGACAGATAAAATGGTAAGATTTATATGTCTTTGGCCTTGGTGATGAATTAATTAAATTGGCTTCTCTTTCTCTCTCTTCTCTAGATGCATTGTTTAGTGTCTCTAAAGTTTGCTGGCAAGTGGTTGCTCTGGAGATTAAATTGTTCTTGAAAGGCCAGTGTAGGAGGATTATACATCCTAGTGTATATTTCTTTAGGACTTTCAACATAAATCTTTGTGGAAGTGGGCGGTGGAGGTGAGGGCTGCCATATCCTAAGGAAAGAGATGAGGAAATTGGAACAGTCCCTTTTCAGGAAAAACAAACCCTTCACTGAACTGACTGATGACTGAAATTCAGTAGTAAGATCTTTATTGTTTTATTGTCTGGAAGACATAACATATTCTGTTTTACATTTTAATGAATGAATTGATCAGACCTCAGAAATCTTGTTTCACTAGAACTCTGTGTAATCAGAGAGAGAGGCAAATTTCTTAAGATAAAACTTGAACTTAATCATACTTCCTTTCTTATATTATTTTGTTAGGGCTGACATAAAAAAAAAATCATAGACTGGGTAGCTTAAACAACAGAAATTTATTTTCTTACAGATCTGGAGGCTGGAAGTCCAGCCTTTTGGAAGTCCAACCTTTTGGTTTTGGCAGATTTGATTTCTTCTGAGGCCTCTCTCCTTGGCTTGCCATGGCTGCCTTCTTGCTGTGTCTCCCTGGGGTCTGTCCTCTGTATTCACTCATCTCTGATGTTTCCTTATGTGTCTGAATTTCCTCTTCTGATAAGGATACTGGTCAGAGTGGATTATGTTTCACTCAGAGCCCCATTTTAAGTTAATCACCCCTTTAAATGAGCT